TTCGTACTAATGTTTCTTACTACTTACTTCGTACTAATGTTTCTTACTACTTACTTCGTACTAATGTTTCTTACTACTTACTTCGTACTAATGTTTCTTACTACTTACTTCGTACTAATGTTTCTTACTACTTACTTCGTACTAATGTTTCTTATAAACAAGTTTTTATAAAAGAAACTTGTTTATAAGAAACAAGTTTTTTGGAAGTGAAACATTATTTCCCGAATTTTTTTGCAATTAATTTCGCAAATTACACTGGTTCAAAGTTTTTAACCAAAATTTTCCTATTTATATCTATTCTATTTAAACATTTAAATTATGAAATAAGTTTTAATTTAGGAGTTCAATTGATGAAAACGTTAAAAAGTTTTTTTTATTACGGTAATAATTCTATTACTGTACTTAATTCCAAATAGATAGGTAATTTAATTGATATAGAAGGATATTTCACGATATTTAAATACTCCTCTGGCAGTCAGAAAGTATTGTCTTATTGGCAGTATCGTCACTATTTCTATTAACAAACTCACCTTTAGGTATGTCAGCAGATAGGTAGTAACCGTTCTATAAAGAATAACTAAATCTTTTACTTTCTTAAGTTAACAGATAAATTCTCCTCAACTGTTTTTGTCTTATACCTTTTAAATTCCATTTTCTCACATGAAAAATAAATCTAAACACTTTATCCAGTAGTGCAAATCTGAAATTTCGATTGCCAAAGCTCGTTTATGCTTTTTAAAATCAACATTTTATTTTATTGTGTTTAGCATTGCACAGATTGCAAGATTGAATGAATTTGTTGTATGCAAGTTTGTTAACTATTTTTATTTTTGAACATTGATAGGTCACATAACTGCTTATAAAAGTCATTTCAAAGGTGTTTTTTTAGATATGTTTCCAATATTGGATTTTTTTCTTTATTAATACTATTTCTTTTACTAAATACAAATGTTGTTGCTTCATAATTAACATGTTGCTCAAGTTTATTAATAAGCAAAAGTTCAAATTTTTGTTTTTAAAGTGTCTCCATCTGAGGGAAGGGGGGGGGGGATTGGCTGGAATTTCCCAGAGCTATCATTTCGATTTTAATTTATTTATACAAATGAAACACTTAACTTAACCTAAATACAGTCGTTCAATAAAATAAAAACACAAATTAAACACATATATAACAATAATAAATGAGTTAAATCAAAAAAAATATTTTAATTTTTTTTTCTAAAAGTGTAAATATGGTACTTACATTGCAGATTTCCAAAAAAAAGTCCTGTAAAAATGTTTCTAAAGCAGTGTGAACAAAGGAAGTATACACATTAAGAATAACAGGAAGTTGGAAATGTATAACATGAAAAGAATGTCTTTCTAATTTATAGCTCATTTTATTGGTCTAAAACTCTAAGGGGGCTGAAATTGCCTCAGGGATGGAGCTACCTATCTTAGCCTATAATTTTTTTTGTAAATTTTCTTTATTTCGTCAAGTAAATTCTTTCATAATAGTAAATTATCCATTCCTAATTCACGTATGTTTGGATATCAATAATCTTTCCATTGTTTTGTTTTTAAAAATTGTCAATAACATCTGTAGTATATCAGAAATATTTTTAATTTTTTACATTTCACTGTTTAACATTTTGTGTTATTACTGCTATAACAATGATCGCATTAGGTTTCCTGTATTAATATTATTCTTGTAAATAATGTTACTTTTATATCACAGGAAATGATTTTATTGCTATTTCATTTTTTGTTCTTTATTAAATTATAAGTTATTTATCTTTATTTAATAAATCATTCTTCAAAAATGACGAAAAACCTTTTTTTTTCAAAAATTTTTTGAATAGGGTAAAAGTACCGCAAACCGGACACGCTTTACAAAAAGTTAAACAACTTTTTTTTGATATCGAGAGTTTGTAGGATTTTTTTTTTCTGGAATATAGTTGTTTATCAGAGCAATTCTGCAGTGCAATAAATAATACTTATTGGGAATAAATTAAAAAACTTATTGGGAATTAGATCTAACGCTACTATTAAAGTTGAAGGATGGGTTTGCAGATGGGAGAAAAATTAATTTCATTGCGAATATTCATTATGGAAACTTTTCTTGATGTCTATTACATATGTAATTTGTTAACAGAATCTACCACATAAGTCCAATTGTGTTAATATATTTCTGATGTAATAAAATAAATAACTTTTAAATAATATAACGATGCTTTTATAGCTGTGTATTCAGACTGAATTTCTAAATCTAGGTACGCAAACAAAAGTGTTCTTTTGTAATACTAAAGCATGAAGAATGGTTTGGGTATCTCTAGAATATGTAGGCCACAACGTTACATCTATTGATAAAAATTAATTTCTAAAAAAAAAAAATACTAATAATTGTGATTGCAAAATAAAAATTGACCAATAAATGGAAGATGAATTTTCAAACAATCTTTTAAACATAAAATATATTCAAAATACATTATGCTTTCCAAATTTATTAAAGATCTAAAGAAAAAAATATTAATTTTAAACAAAAACATTGTAACTCATGAATTAGTATGTAGCCATGTAGTTAATGTAGCTATGCATGTTGTTGCTATATAGTTAGTGTAGCTATTTAGATTGTTGCTGTGTTGTTAATGTAGCAACTTCCTGTTTACAGGAAAATACAGATGTAAAAAAAAATTAATTATAACAATTTATAATTTCCTGTAAAAATTTTTATCTATAATTTAAATTTTTAAAAATTTAGACTTTCTTCCTGATGATCCTGTTGAAGCAGAAACTAACAGTAGAAGCTGAATTAAGATAAGTGTTTTTTTACTAATTCTATATATATATATATATATATATATATATATATATATATATATATATATATATATATATATATATATATATATATATATATATATATATATATACACAACAAATATATATATATATATATATATATATTTTGACAATCGTTCCTATTTTTTTTCGAAGTATGCGTATTATATTAATAGTATTATATTATTACCTATTTATTATTTAAACTTCAATACATAAAAGTTATCACAAAATATTCTAATAGTTCGTGGTTGCCAGACCTATGTTATTTTTTATAAGCTAAAACTTTACATATTTTATTTTTTACGCGCATACTTCCAAAACAAGTAGGAACGATTGTCAACAATGTCTTTTTCAGATCATGGTGGCTTTGGCTAGTAACAGACACCAAAGGTGTTTAAAATACTGGGGTAAAACATATCAAGTTGTAAAGAATATCTTTCTTATAATTTTGTATAAATATTAAATATAATTTTCTTCAAAATAGTCTAATTAACCACTGTTAGAAAATTATAATATAAATGAATTTAAAAAGGGTTTTAATTGCTAAAGCATTTTTTAAAAATAATAAAAAAGCAATGACAATAACTTGATAATATTTTGAGAATAAGAGAGTAAAAAGTTTAAAAATTAAGATAAAAAAACTGTCCAAACCAAAACCCTCAGTCGACGTATGAACAATACAAATGGCCAATATCAGTCGATGTAACTTTAAATATATTTGAAGTAGTAAAATTAATAATATAAAACTATTAATAATGTCTTAACTGAACTTGTTATTAAAAAGTTTATTTACTGCAGTGTTGTAATAGCAAATATAAAAACCAGGTTGTGTAAAACTTTGTACACGAAGTTTAGTACATATTCACGGAGTTTAGTACAGTATAAGTTCACGGAGTGTTTAATGAAAATACACTGACAATATAAGTTTTACTATTTCTATGTGCAGTTAATAAATATATAAAACTCAGTTTGGATAAAACAGTATCATTACAGTATCAAAACATTGACAAAATGTTAACTCGTTTTGAAACTGCCACAAAAACATTGCCTCAAATTTAAGGAGGTTGTTTGACCTAGAGAATGGTTACCTAGTGACAATGGTTACCTAGTGACAATGGTTACCTAGTGACAATGGTTATTACAGAGTTATAAACCGTTTTCAGAACTCAAAGAAAAAAATATTTTGCCTCTGAACTTCAAAAATCTAACAAAATAACAAAAATCTTAAAAAAATTTATGAAACAGTCAAAGAAAAAATCAAAAAAAAAACAGAAAAAGATTCTTTTGAAATTATTTTTTGCACAACCTGATTTTTATCTTTGCTATTACAACATTGCAATAAATTAACTTTTTATTAATAATTTAAGATATTAATAATTTTAATAAAGTTAATAATACTAATAATTTTACTTTGTTAATTTTTAAAAATTTTCAAATATACTTAAATTGACATACATCAACTGACTTATATTCATCTGTCTTATTCCCTAAATATTATTTCGGTTATTCCAATATTATTACGGTTATTCTAATATTATTACAGTTATTTCATTATTATTACGGTTATTGTTATTTGGAAAAAATATTGTATCCAATAAAACTCTGTTTAAATTCATTTTTATTACAACTTACATCTAACAGTTATCAAATGCTAATAGAAACCAGTATTATTGTTTTTTTAATATTTATTTCAACAACTTGTCAATCTATTTAAAAGCCACTTATTAATTTATATAAAGAATAAAGATTAATTAAAAAAAGCAAACAATTACGTAAGTGACGGGTATTTGATGGCGAGACTGTGCATGACTATCAAATATAACCAAAATTAAATAAACATTTGTGTTCTCCGTAGAAAAAAGTATTTATATCTGTTATAATATTAGTATAGTATATCAAAGTATTTATATTATATCTGTTATAACATCCTACAAGATTAAATTGAAATACGAGTTACTTTAGAAGATTAAAACAGAGAAGGAAAAAAAGAATTTTTTTTTTTAATACCCTAAAAAAATTTTTATATTTTTTATTTCTTCTGTAATAATTAAAAAAATTGTAATCGTAAGTTAATTTAAAGTAATTTCAAAAAGATAGTTAAGACAAATAAAGTCAACAACAAAAAACTCAATGACGTTGCTTTTATAGCTCTATGTAATTGCTTGAAACAACCAGTTTTAAAAATAGGCGACTATTGGAGAACTGGTACTTGAACAATTGGGATTAACTCCGCTGTTACTATAAATCGAAAATCGATGGAAATTAAAATCAAAAATCGTATAAAAGCTTTTAACAAAGTTAAATTTATAAAGTTATAATAAAAGATTATAAATTTCATTTATACCAATTAATTAACAAAATAAATATAAAAATATCATTGTTATTTTTTGTTTAAATATATTATTTTGTCTTTTCATTACTTTTAATAAGCATTTATTTTATAGCACCGGTATACATCATTTTTGCATAAAGAAATGAGTTTGACGAACGATAAAAAACATTACATTTCGTTAGAGCTTGCAACACGTGAGAATTTAAAACCCTTTGCGCAGATTATTGACGATGATTTTGAAAACTATGGTGATACTGGGTTGCCTATACCGTTTTATAGTACTGTTTTGGAAGGCAAAAATTTCGAAAACGTAACTTGGAAAGATCAAGCGTGTGTGCGTCGAGCACAAATTAAGTGGAGAAACGACACATCAGTGAAGTGGTTAGAACGACACTTAGAAATGACGCAAGCATTTATAATTATTGGAAAAAACCCTGGTTTATTTGTGCTGGGTGCTCCAACACACAATAGAAAAAATATGGACGAAAAGCAACGTGCTTTACCAGATTGGGCAAATATTAAAGCTTTTATTGTACCGGCTGGTGTAGGACTGATTCTTCATAAAGGGACATGGCATGATTTTCCAGTATCGTGTGGCCCACCTGTTACTTCATTTATAATTAATACAGAAGAGGTACAAATTTATTTTATTTTAAAACTTATTTTTATACATTACTAAAAGCATTATTTAGTTTAAGATTCTAAAATATTTTCCTTAGGTGGTGCATGCACTTGCTAATATGAAAGAGCCGCAACCAATGAATCACGGAGATTGTTTTAAACTGCGTTTATCTGATCACTATGACTGCACCATTCATTTTCCTGATCCTAGATCATTTGTTAATGACCTCGGGCTTGTTTCTCTTCCTACCGAACAAAAACTTATGGGTGAGAATGGCTACGGATTGGGTATGCACAGAAAGGAAATTCAAAGAGGTTGGGGTGGAGCAAAAGTTTATGTTATTCCCGTAATTAACGTTGAGGTATTTACACCTGGGTGTGGAGGACCAAGCATTCAACCGCATTTGAAATCTATTCCAGAAATAGCAAACTCTGGGTGGCGAGATTACGGAAACCGAAATGGACTAAAACGTTTATTAACTATGTTCAAATCACTAAACATTTCAGCTACTGCTGTGATAAATAGTGAAGCTGTTCAAGACCCTAAAGTCAGAGATATTTTAAAAATCTCAGGTTGTGAGCTAGGAGCCCATGGAATAAACAATTCTCAAGGAAATGCTAAAATGAATCGTTCCGAAGAACTTTCTGTTTTTAAAAATTGTTTAGATCAATTAACATCGGCATTTGATGAGAGACCTATAACATGGTTAACTCCAGGATTCTCTGTAACAAAGCGCACACCTGAAATTGCAGCTCTTTCTGGAATCAAAGTATTACTTGATTTTGTTGATGACGACACTCCTTATATTCTTCAACATTCTGAATATGATAAATGCAAGATGTTGTGTTTACCATACTGCTTAGAAACTAACGATTTTTCTTTGGTATTGACAAAAAATTACGATTCGCAACAATATGCGCAAACAATTGAAGATCATATTAGACAGTTGGTGAAAGAAACTGACACTGGAGAAAAGGTTGTTTGTCTCGGTATGCACACGTTTGTAGCCGGAACACCTGCAAGAGTATATGCCCTAGAAAAAATGTTTAAACAGTTGTTACTTTGTGAAGATTTGTGTTTCGCTACTGCCTCTCAGGTATATGAATTAATAAAAAATCAAATTACCTCAAGTTAATAAAAAAACGACTAGTTTAAACTTAATATATTTGGAAATTAGCATAATAAAAACTTAACGTGATCCGAATATGAAAATGATAAAGAACTGATACAAACTTGATATACATGATATAAACTTATAATAATATGTAATAATGATGCTAATTTATCACGAGTACAAAATAAAACAGAGTTTGCACTTCATAAAAAGATAATAGTGGTCAGAGGTGATTATAGGAATAAAATGAGAGAGAGGAGGAGGGCGGAGGAGGCTAATCTTTAAAAAGTACCAACTGCTTTTAAAAAAAGATTAGATGTCTTCAAAACTAAAAATCACCCGAATCAAATGTTTCAAATACCCAATTATATTCTAACTATAACTTGAAAATTGTTTATTATTTGGGTATGTGTGTGTGGGGTGGGGAAGCGGTGTTATACTCCTCCCCCTCACACACACTAGTAGAATCGTTTCTCTTAGTGATACCAAAATAATGTAAATATTTCATACTTTTTTGTTGAAAAAATAATATTTATATATTTTTTATGTTTATTTTTTTAATTTCAATTTATACTAGCTATTTAATTGTTAATTGATTGTTTTTAAAAGTATTTAAACCTTTTTTAATTTGGGGTTAAAACTTTCAGAACCTATAATTTGGGCGTCCGGGATTAGTTAAACTTGAAAATTTACTTAAAAAATGATACTTAAAAGTATTTTACATGATGTATAGTACCTTTAAGTATCATTTTATTAAAATTCATTGCTCTATGTAATTCATTTCTATTTAATATTATAATTTGTTCTGCTTTAATGTTCCAAATCAGTGTGCTGTGTTTTTTAGTGACATTTATTAGATCATACCTTACAGATAGAGATTTCTATAGACATGCTGAACTACTATGATATGTTATTGAAATTTTCAAAACTTTACACAACAATATTTGTACAAAACTGACTATACAACCGAAAGTAAACAAATTATAAAAAACTATAAACTCATAAAATAAATTACAAAAGCAAGAAACAAGATGCAATTTAGAAAATTGACTTTTAATTTATTTATATTAGAGAAAATAAATAGACGTGGTGGTGGCATAATTGTTTATGTTAGATAATCTTTAATGTTTTTAAGAGACTTGATATAGTATTTCTGACGTCAATAAAGTGTTTTAACTGTCACATTTTATTGAAGTTTAAAACAAATGAAAATATTTTAATGAGCGGTTGTTATCGCTCAATTTTCGGCAAAATACGTTATTACGGTATAAATAAAAGCAAAACGCCTAGACAACAAGGATATACTGGTCCAAAAATGGCTGGGCTATGCCAGCGAATTCGTTAAAGAACCAATAAAGTTCCGTTCTTGGATTATCAGATCTGGGAAGCCGTAACAGAGCCATTGCTGAGCCTTTATAAAAATGCGCCTAAGCAGGGTAGCCACAAAAAAACCATTGATGGTCCAACAAAGTTTTGCCGAAGAAAAACAACAATCATTGGGCCGATACTATCCCATAAATGGTAAAATCAAATTAATATTGATATAGACTAAAGCTACGGTATTTGCGTTTACAGCGCAGATTTTTGCATCCAATTTGAAAGTCAATTTTTTCATTTTTCATACAAATATATATAATAAGAACTTAAATAAACTTTTTTAAATACTTTTAGGTGAGAATCTAATCTGTTTTATATTCTATTTTACGTACACAATAAATTCTAGATAAGTTTTTAAAGTTAACATTTTATTAAAGAAAATTTATGTTTTCAAAATAATTTCTAAATAAATTATTGTTAATTCTTTTGTTAAATGAAAAAGGTTTCGTATAAAATGTGTTGTTAGACCACAAATGATATATATCAACATTGCTTACATGACTATTTATCTCAAACGTAATTATTTACATCAAACATTAACCATTAAAATGGCGAGATGTTTAAACTAAATATTTTTCACCAAGCTTAACTGGTTTAAGAAGTTCAAAACCTAAATTATGAAAACAACAGTAACTGAGGAATGATAGAAACTGTTAGAAAAAAACTGATAGAAATGTAGATTTGATAGCAAAGGAAATATATAAAATATATTTATATAATTGTGTAGATTATTTGAACAAATTTGTGTTATTTTCTTTTTTTTGTTGTTGTCATTATCTTAATTTTTTTTATAATTTGAGTGTTTTTAATACATTTATTTTATATTCTTATAGTTTAATAGGAATAATATAAAGAAAACATTTTCTTTATAAATATTATATAAAAATGTTATTGTTTTATGCAAAGTTGTTCAAGTCAAAAATGGATACCTAAGTATTATTAACATATGAGGCACAAGATAGGAAAAGTTGCTGAGTCTACATATATAGATTTGAACATATAAGTGTTTTTAGCAAAAAAAAAATTAAAAATTTATAGTTGACTTTATCATTATTACTATTTTTTTCAAACAGTTAAATCATTATTTCATATATTTTTTTAAAAATATATTTGCTAAATTGTTTACCTATAAATGAAATAAACAATCAATCAGTATAATTTCACTTTAATAACTGCATATATATACAATAGTGAGAAATAATTACAAACAGTTAGAAACTGATGACGTAAGCAGTGCCGCTGAGAGGAGGGGGAGGGGCGTGGTCACGAGGGACGGTGGTGTGACGGCTCTCGGTGGCCCTGGGCGTAAGGACCTAAGTCTGACATCTACTTTGTTAGACTATATACTAATATTGTGTACAACGTTGTTTTGATTAATTGATCTTGTTCTTCTAATTTCTAATATGTAGAGAAAGGTTCATCAGTAAGTTTTTACATAATTACCTATTCAATTATAAACACAAGTTGTTCTATGTTGGACTTGTTGAATCATAATAGCATGTTTTTTTATTTGTGAATTTCTTAACTGGCTTCAATAATCAAAGTAAGGTCTAACTTATGATGGAAGTATTTATATTTAATTTATCTAAATATTTAAAGAAGTGTTTTATTCGGCCTAATGTAAAACTTTCAGAGTTGTTATTTCTTTATAATTTTATTTTTAAAACGCTTCCAATATAAGTTATGAAGTATTGCCAATATTGATGCTATTGAGCTGATTTTTGTTTAAGTATATAGATTAACTCTCTGCTTAAGTTACAATAACTCCATTTCATAGATTTAATATCTTTTTTATATATATGTTATTTTAAATGAAAAACTTTGAAAAAAATAATTTTATTTATTAGATTTAATAGTATTAGTATGCCACAACATAAAGTAGCAAATATTAATGAAAAAAATAATTTTAATTATTAGATTTAATAGTATTAATATGCCACAACATAAAGTAGCAAATATTAATGAAGCTATAGTAATAAACATAATGTTGAGACAAGGAAGGAAAAGTTTTCTTCCTTTATTTTAACTATTACTATGACTAGATTTACTGAGTTTTATAAAATAAATCAAGTAGTTTTTGTGTATAAAAAATATTCTGAAAAGTTGAGAGGCATTTTAATTGCAAATATAACAAATCGCCAGCCGAGAACCAAAAGACCATATATCCAGTTTCGACTTTTTTTCTGTTTATTTCTAAAAAATGTTCTCTTTGATGAAATCTGTGTTTTGGTTGATTCTAGCCAAAAAAAAATAAAAAACCGTGATGACTGTTATTATCAACTGGCCGTTTGTCCTTTGACCAATCAGATTAGCCAAAACTTTGTTTACGCTGTTAAACAGCCGCTAAAACTCTATTTGTTATTAATATAATGGCGTACGATGAAACCTCTATTTGTATTCGTACTCTCAAGGGTACGAATATAAATATAGAGTTCTCTAAATTATAAAATAACGAATAGTTTAGACTAGTCAGTACTTACAGCTTAGTTCTATATATTTGATATATTATAGTTGGTAATATTATTATTATTGTATATATAATAAATAATAAATTAAAAACTCAAAAGAACAAGATGTTGTTCAAATTCAGTAACAACATAATCTTTAATTCAACTACTCTGAATCTATCTCTGTTATTCAATCACAACATATCGATAAAAATGATGACTTCCTTAATCAAACTGCTTCGAACAGAGATTCCAGAGAAAGTAGCAGAAAAAACAAGAGAACTGTTTGTTGCGTATAAGATCTTAAACGCAAACGAAAACAAGACCCTACTTCCTGGAAAAAAAGAAATAATAAAAAACTTAAGAATAAGAAAGAGTCGTCAGCGATAAATAGCCTCAAATGGTAAAATACAACGGGAGAAATTTATAAAAGACTGTAAGAAAGACCAAAATGTCGTTTTAAATCTAAAATAAAAATTAGAGTTTCTGGTCAAGAAACTTAGCACAAACAACAATGGATATTAAATGATCGAGAAAAGCGTCTTTTTTACTCCCAAACTATAAAGAACAAAAAAGTAACTGTAAGAACAAACTGTAAAGAACAAACTGTAAGAACAAACTGTAAAGAACAAAAAAGGTTTCGTTTAGCTGTAAACTCAGAATTTAAAAAAACAGTTATTCATATTACTTTATTGTTTGATAAAAACTTTTTCTATAAACTTTAGATATTGATGAAAAAAGAATTAGAAATTACAATTTAACAAAAAATAAAACAACAGAACACCGCAACATTATAAAATAGGTAAAGTACCTAGTCGAACTGTCCCAAATTACATTTAAGATTCTATACGACAGCATATTCAAAGCATTCCCAGAGTTGACAGTACAAACAAAGATTACATTCAAGAAAATCTGAATATGATCTGTTTGTATGAGAAATATTGTGAAAAATATGTTTCTAAAATTGTTATTCCTGAAAAAAAAGGTGTACTCAATAATATTTAATACAAAGTTTAACATTGAAGTTCATAAACTAAAAAAAGATAAATGTGATAAATGTGAAAGCATGAAAATAAATCCTTCACCTAACTCAAATGAAAAGACAGAAAATGAAATTCACATAAACACAAAAAAGATGAAACTAATGAAGAACGTAATCGTGAAAAGCTTGATAAAAGCAACTTTATTATTTGCTTCGATATGGAAAATATTTTCAGCCTACCAACAGCTAACGTTTCTAATTTTTATTACAAAAGAAAGTTGATTATTTTTCATTTATCTGTACAATGCAAAATATAAAAAAAAAAAAAAAATTAAGGTGCAGTCTGGTCAACTTACTAAAGGTCGATCAGAAAATAATATAGCTAGTGCTTTTCTTGTTATATTTGATCAAATAGTTGTAGATGAATATATGTCAATGGTCTTAAAAATATTCATCAAGTGTTTAATGTTAAACTGTTCAACTTTTGTTTCTGCAATTTTCAGCTCCATTGACAACTTGGTTCTGCATCAATTTTTTTTGAACTTTTGATCAAATAATAAATATTTTTTTATTTTTTAGTTTGCAAGATGTTGTATTTCATTTTCAAGTAAAACAGAATGTTTGATTATTACAAGGTTGCTTAAATGTTACAACCAACATAACTAAATATATATATTTTAATTATAATAATCTAGTTTTGTATTAGTTACTATTTGTATAGTGTTTGCATCAA